AACCCCAGATTACAGCAAACCACTTCAAAATCCTTACACGTGATCATCACAAATCACTGCACTACATGCGGACGTAAAGACATATGAAACTTGACACAAAGACAAAACTATAACATGGAACATAAAAAGTGTGTGTTCGCAAACAAATATAATATGACCTGGTCTGAGCTATGAGTTGGAAGGTCAAGGTCTTCTGTCATTCACAGTTGCGACTGGCTTTTACTTGTACTGCAACTTTATCAAAATGTTTATAAAATGTAAATAATGATTGAAAAGGTTATCGTCAAATTTTGAATTTTTTGAGGGCCCTAAACAATCTCAAAAGAAAATGAAATGCCAGACATATATATTTGATCTAGCTAAACCTCTATTATGTATCTCCGGTTAATAAATGAACCTTGAATATTAGAAGCTAAGTTAAAAGTATAAATAAGGTACAATTAGATCATGACATCCCACTGTTTTTTCTTGAGAACCTTTGAGGGTTATATTTACAAGTTGTTGCATGTGCTTACATACCCTGATTTGTCTAACTGCAGCAGATATTCAAATACAGGGCCCATATGATTGACAGCTCCATCTCTCCATTTCTGTAGAAAATCGAGATTCTTCTGGGAAAAGTCGCTAAGCGTTATCTCCTCAAACCAAGGAGCAGCACAAAATGCCATGTTGGGAATTGGACCTGTACCAACATCCAGTAGTTTCTTTCCTGTTATATCCCCTGAAAGTGAATATAAACATGTGATGATGGACTAGTTCACTTCTGCAAGATAATTAAAAAGACAAGAAGGTTAGTGGCTACAGTTTTGCTTATACATTATTTATTTTCATTGACTCTTCCTCCGCCACGTTTTGCGCATTTACAGTCTGACTGACTGTAAACCTTTTATCTGTAAAATTTTTTGTTCCTTTTGAGAAAATAATAGTTACCATTATTCTAGGTGCTAGGAACGTAATGTTGTGCTCAAATACTTGCTATTTTCCATACACAAGCACTTGCTGAAGATTTCCACTCCCGATAATTTCCAGTTCCGTTTGTGATATTTTAAATGAACAAGGGACATAAATGGGCACAACAATGCTCTCATTGCTTTTATCCCATCCTATGAATAATACACAAACTTTATATATTGATTTTTACCAGTTAATATAAATATTTTTCTAATGTTCAGAGATGTTTAATATGCACAATCTCTTTTTCGTCATCGAAGACATTCAGAATATTAATGCTAACATATGAAACAAGTCAATAATAAAGGAACAAGTAAATTCGCCTCATTAATATGTGGGTCTGAAAATTTTCAACAGAAGAACAATATCTTGATGATACAAGCCTACATTCGATTTTTAATAAACACTGGATTTGATTTATAACTCTGTCAGTTGGTAATAAGTCAGAAAAATCACATGCAAGATCACGACATAAATATACATTACTGAACCAGTCCAAGCTGTTGAAGATAACAATACATTCCAAATCTAATCAGAATAAGGAGATCAATAGGGATTCTAAATTGGCACTAAGCATAGCCAAACACTGGCGACACTACATATTAAACTTGCTATAGTATTACAGTCAAACCAATCCCAAAGATGAATGATACAAGCCCATTAATGAAATTGTCCCAGATATACAGTAAATAATAAAAATGTATATATTTCAAGTTTGATCAAAAATAGGATTAGAAATATGGCATCCTGAGTGCAAAAAGGACAACCAATCCGATGCAACATCACCTTATTCACATCAATAAATCTCATTGATTCTTGAATTAGTATGACAGCTTTTAACACTATAAACCCATGGTTCAAGCTTGATTTGAAGCAGGGGTAAGATATAAGGATTCAAGTGTGGCAATGGTTAAAATTCTGAGGCATGAGACACAATTAACATATAATGGATACAGGGCCATAGCATAATCTCACTATCAAAGATGGCGTATGAGAGTCAGATCCAACACGCATAATAAACTGCAACCGACAAAAACTCTTGATAATACAATATAAACCATCAAACGAATTTCTTTTCAAAATCTGAACCAAATACAATATTTATGCATCAAATTGAATATACTTCTAAGTGTACCTTTTACGTTCAAGAACCGAAGCAAATCATAATTTAAACTAATTATAATTCACTTATTTTATTGTCTTGCCCACAAAATGTGAACAATCAGCATCAAAGATTTTGATGAATTCAATTTAGTCTATGAACAGATTTGGACCAAACCCCAACCTGTTAAAATAGGAACCTTAAAAGATTCAGAAGTCTCAGCTGCCATATTTGTCACATTATGACTGTATACATAATGGTACAGTCTCAGTAATGAATAGGTGTTTCTTGGAAGCCTGAAACGTTATACTGAAGACAAAAAACGAATAATTACCTCCTACAAATGTCTAAAACACCGCAAAATAATGTGTTACAAGATACCCATTGCTCAGATAGATGGTAAGAAATTTTCAGATAGATGGTAAGAAATTTATTCATTTTCCATAATAACCAACAAAGCTTGGAAATTTTTATACACATCTTGAAGTCCTCATGTTTGTACCATGAGAAGGTCCATGCAAAAATAATACTAACAGAGCAAATAATAAGTCAAAATTAGTCAACAGAGTTTACTTACAAAACGATTATATATCTGCGATATATATCCGTGATTTGTGCATACAATTTCTTAAGTACAATAACTATATCTTGTTTCTCCTTGAAATTGTATTATTGTTCTCTACTTCGCTGTATATTATGAGCAAGGTACATGTATTGCCACCGTATTAGATGTGCTTTGTATCACTGGACAATGTACTACATGCAAACCCATACAAAAGATTAAATCGTCACCAAGGTTTTGCACAATTAACTGTAATGCTTTAAATGCAAGTCAAATCAACGCCATAGTCATTCAAAGTCACATCTCCAAAATGCATTGTATAACGACCAAAGTGGGAATATATATGCATGCAAAAATAAAGTCAGTACCTGATTTGAATGCATCATTAAGGCCATCCAGAAAGAATTTCAGGACATCCCCTTCCTCCTTGTGCCCTGCAATAGTGCTGTAATATGTAGCAACATATTTGTCTGGGTCGAAGGCATCGTAGGCAACACCGTTAGTGTTGATTAATGCTGTACCTGCCGACATTCTTGATGGTGTCGATGTACCCAGAATTTAAATTATGCACACTGCAAACACCAACGTTGTGGATACTATGCAGGATGAATGATGGCTTGATCGTGCTTACTAATAACGTTTGGTGTATAATTCACCTGAAAATTTTAAAGAGACTGTTAATGATGAGTTTCCTTTGAGAGAGAGAGAGAGAGAGAGAGAGAGAGAGAGAGAGAGAGAGAGAGAGAGAGAGAGAGAGAGAGACAGACAGACAGACAGAGAGAGAGAGAGAGAGACAGAGAGAGAGAGAGAGAGAGAGACAGACAGACAGACAGAGAGAGAGAGAGAGAGACAGACAGAGAGAGAGAGAGAGAGAGACAGACAGACAGACAGAGAGAGAGAGAGAGAGAGACAGACAGACAGAGAGAGAGAGAGACAGACAGACAGAGAGAGAGAGAGAGAGACAGACAGAGAGAGAGAGAGAGAGAGAGAGAGAGAGAGAGACAGACAGAGAGAGAGAGAGAGAGAGAGAGAGAGACAGAGAGAGAGAGAGAGAGAGAGAGAGAGAGACAGAGAGAGAGAGAGAGAGAGAGAGAGAGAGAGAGAGAGAGAGAGAGAGAGAGAGAGAGAGATGTATTAAGCATGAAGTCATTTATATAATATTTCACACGTTTCAAAAAATAATATTCAGTAATTTAGTAAATCCATGTAACATAAAGCCTATGTTCTACAGCTTTACATATCGACAAAAGCTGTCTAAGTTAGAAAAGTAACGATGTATGTGTTTTGGTGTCATATTTAATTGAATACCAAACGATGTTTGACCTAATTTTATTCCTTTGAGACAAGATGTTGTCGTTATTACTCAACAACACAACACTATATACTAGTTTGAAATACTCCCTGGGCTAGAAATTAACTATTTTCGGAAAAGCAGTAAATTATAAGCTGTAATATTTTCGGTCGGCAAATTTCAATGACCAAAGGCATAGGTTGTATTTTGAAAAAAAAAATGCTTCCAAAATATTAACCGCATGGAGTTTCATTTCTGCTATTGTAACAAGAAAATTATAATCAGCAAAATGTTTGGATAAATTTTGTTCCCTGTCTCTCTATTAATTAATTAATCAGTCTGTTTGACAGAACTTGTAAACTTGAACAATGATGCTCAGACTTCCAAGATAGTCATTCATAAATTACCAGGTAGTCTATACTGGAACAGCGATTCTAAATATTCAGGAGTACTGTTATTTGATATCCAGTGCATTAATATGGTTGTTCACAAGGGATTCGATCTTTAGTTGGCAGTATTTTTAACTTACCAGCTATATTGTCCTTGCTTTCTTTCTGGATTGATATTAATCCATATGTTCTTTCTTAAGATGTGCTAGCTTTGTAATGTTTATCATTTGAACTACCCCATACTGTATTACGTATTTGCACTATTTATACAGAAAAATCAACTGCCTGTGTTTATAAATTATTAGAAGGGTTTTTTAAATAAACTAAGGTGCAATTAGTAACGATCCATTTCTGAACATGCTTAATGTATAATGTTACAACACTGTGCTCTGAGTGGGTTTAGTATTTACATGCATTGTTTAAAGACTTTAGATCCTTACTTCAGCATTGCCATTGGTCAGGTTTGGATCCATAAATCAATGTTTTGATAAATATCTACCTCAACTCTTCCCCCAGTTCAAAGCATTGTCAACTGTCAGGTTTGGATCCATGTATCAATACTATTATACCTGTCAACTACAACTTGTATTATTAGGCAAGTTATTAATACCAAGAGTTAAAATGAATAACTGAACTATCAAATCAGAATACTTTTAGTGAATAATCAAAAAAACGTTGGTATTAAGTATTCATTTGTCTTTGTTATGACTCAGCCGGAAATCGATCCAATGACATCCCGCATACTAGGCGGACGCTCTAACCACTAGGCCACTGGAGCGTTAAAGTCTCACTTGTTGCCAGTCAGTGAACAAGGACTAACGACCTATCAGTAGGACTAATAATTTTTTCAAAGTACACACGCTTCTGGCTACAATAAATGTATGTCATGGTTTGTTGCCAAACAGGAATCATAGATCAAAATCAAAAGAGACAGTGCATCAATCAAACTGAACATAATTTTGTATCTGTTCTCAAATTCATTTTGTTCAGCATAGAAAAGTTGTAGTTGATCCCGCTTAACAATATCAACCGCAAATGATTTAACCAAGCAAAGAAGTTCATCATAGTCCTCAACTATTTGGTACATTACAGATTAAAATGTATCATGTTGTTGTTGTGGGGCTTAACGCCATTTTTCAGCACACGATAGGCTATATATGGCAGCCAGTATTAATGGCGGAGGAAGAAACCGGAAAATCCCCGGAAAGAACCACCGACCCACGAGAAGCTACTGGCAAGCTATCTCACATATCGATATTGGCCGAATCCTAGACTCGAACCAACGCAGACAGAGGTGAGATGGCAGTGATCCGAAACGGAGAGCGCTTTAGACCACTTGGCCACTCGGGGCCCCTTAAAAAAATGTACCATACGAATACAGAGTAAGCAATCTGTTTCAGCCTTTTCTTCCTTTGTTAAACTCATATCATCAAGATGTACATAGGAGAGTTTGATATTACTTTTGAAACATAAACATTTACCATCTTTATTCGCTAATTTGAAACAGATCCAACAGCACACAACCCAGATATATCGCTGTTTCATGCACAGCTAGATCTGGCTCAGTGTCATTTGTTAGGTGTAATCAGTAGAACAAGCAACAATGACCCTGATCTGCTAGCACATTATTCAATGGCAGATAGGAGTCTATGTTACTTGCAGTTGGATTGAACTTATCACATGCTCACAAAATTTGATTCTTTTTAAACATTATATAAATATCAATTTTTTTTAGCATGGTGGGAAATGAGAAACTGACGGTCAGTCAACCTGAAACAATCACATTGTGGCCTGGGCGGGTATATACAGTAAGTTTTACTGGTCAGGAGTTCGTTACAGTAAAATATACTGCAGTACTTTGTTAGTAGAAAGCAATAGCTATTTAATAATGGCTATAGCTATTGATATATTTTATTTAATAAATTAATTAAATATTAATTAATAATATTTAATATTAATAATTATTGATTAATTATAATAATTTAATAATTTTTAAATTTTCATATTTAATAATTTGCCTTTGCATTATTTGAATTGTTCTGTCCCTTTTGATATGAGAATCCATCTTTACTCTTTGCCTATGGTCATGCGTGGTTGAGGCTGGAAAACATTCTTTTGTACCTGGTCTGATAGTTAAAGGTTACATCAAGGGTGGACAAAGCATCCAGTGGTCCAGAGTGACCTGGTGTTTCAGTTAATGTGCATCATGGGATGTGGCTTTAAAATCATTTATCCTGCCAGTGTTCTGAAGTTGCCAATTCCTGAATTACAGGATACCGGCAAAGTTAGAGGTTATTTTACACCCATTGCTATCAACATTTTTATGTACGAGTTGAGATCAACACCAATGTATGAAATTCAGTTAAAACAATAATTTGTCGAGTTTGAATACGCGTTTATCATGACATAAAAGAGTTGGGATGAAAGTTTGGTATCCTTGGCAAGAATGATAATATGGTTTCAGGTAGCATTAGATTGCAAGGTAATATTTCAGTAATTTGTTTTATTGCCCATTACAATAACTTTTACAAATCGTACCATGCATAAAAGAATAAATGCTAGTGGACTATCTGCCATGATAACATAACATACAGGACAACAATAATCTGGAAAATATCACTGCCAATCCAACATGCCAAACTTTAAGTGTGACGGCATTTACAGGGGCAAGGCTGCGTCAAATTCCTTGCAGGAAATACTTGGTAAATAATAACAGAAACATATATTCTCACCTATGCCTTCTTTTTAAATACTTAAGAGTTCTTATTACACGATAAATGATACATTTTGTGTCGATATTTGTGTGAAATCCCGAAATATCCTTTAAATTTTACCCATGAAACAACTCTCAACTCTTCCAAGTATATGGCTAATAAAAATATACGCAACAGCAGTACAATATAAACTGAGTTTATAAGCAACACCCTCCCTTCATTTTCTGTAAAAGCAGGCCTTTAACCCAAGAAATCAAATTATCCATACTATGTTTTGTCATCTTTATTGCAAAAGGTAGTACAACTTGTATGTGTCATATAATTTCGAGGTTATATTCAACATAAGTAATTGTGACAATTAGGCCAAAACAACTATACGCGAGTTTCTGGTTGGTCAACCAACCTTGCTTGAGCTGCAGGCCTATGCACATTACAACCCTGGGGAAAAATTTATATTTACCAAAATTCATTTGTTTATCTGATTGGGGTGCTTTTTGCCTTACTTCAATAACATAACTGTTAGGCCATCTATTCTTGGTAAAATGCTTATTTAGTGACATCAATATTACAATAGAAATTTATAGCATAGGTGAACAAGTACAAGTTAAACCATTTTGCAGATTTTAGAAGAAAATCAGATCAATTCATGAAATTCATTATGATATTGAATATTGTCATAATGAAGAAACCGCTCCGGTGGCCTAGTGGTTTGAGCGTCCGCCTATGATGCGGAAGTCGTGGGTTCGATCCCCAGTTGAGTCATACCTATGACTTACAAAAATGGTGCTAACAGCTGCCTCGCTTGACGCTCAGCATTATGAGGTTAGTGTTAGGACTGGTTGGCCTGGTTTCAGGATAATGTGACTTTGTGGGACATCATGCTACATGTCTGTGGCATGATGCCCCAGTGCTAGACATCACTATAAATTGCCAAACTGCAGACATCGTAGCGATATGAATGATTTTTTTTAAAGCTACCTTAAAAATCATAATCACATCACATCACATCATAACGAAGAACAGAAAAACTAACAATTTGTAAGATGGGTCCATTTTTTTTTTAAATTCTGAACACAAATGAAGAAAAAAAGCATTAAAATTTTAGAGCAATATTTAACTTCAAGCTAAAGTCTTGCCTGGTGCAAGCAAGTATGTGATATATCTAATATGTCTTTGAAAACTAACAGACCATATCTAATAGTTCCGGTTCAGCATGTAGTCCCAGTATATTTGTGAGCATAGTTTCCTGTCTTCTTTTGGCGGTTATACAAGAATTAGATTTAGGCATTTTTGGTATGGATTTAAAAGCAATTGTTAATCTTTAGAATATGAGCTTATGGTCTGGTTGTCTGTTTATTTCGGCGACAGTGTATAGCGAGTAATAAGGTGTTGCTGATGATCCGGAAGTGAGATCATTGTTCCACTGCACGCTGGTTCGGATACAGTCCAGCTTCTCAAACAATGTCGGTGAACTTATGCCATGAACTTTACTGTGAAGTCATCTTTGAAGGAATATTAGATTAACATATAACTTGTATTGATTGTCACACAGTGGAAAGTTGAGCACTGTGAAACAAATGTAGAGAATATATAGTAAATTAATTGTTATAACTCCTGGGTCCATTAGGTCCGGAGATCATTTTTGGCAGTGTAACATCTTACGTGGAATTTTTGGCTTTTATGTCGTGTAAAAACCCCAAATATTGCGGATCGGGCAGTATTGTAATTTTAGCGTGCATGGGCAGTATTGTAATTTTAGCGTGCATTTTATGGTGATAAATATACGACGAAATATTTAAATGCATTTGATTCTCATAATCGGTCAAATACGCTCTCTTCACAAAATGTTTTAGAAAAAGCAACGATTTTACACTTTATAAAGATATTGTTAAGTATTTTAGTTGATGTGCATTGCCTGAAATTGAGTTTTGAATTAAAAGGTGGGTGAACATATAATCGAAACCACAAGATACATTGCTAGCATGAGGGAAGTAGTTACGTCATTTTCAAGGCTCGGAAATATGTCACACTGCAAAATTCATATGAACATTTTTTTTTTTACCAAAAATCGACATATTATATAACGAGTTCAAAACTTTTCAAACACTAGACGGGTCCTGGTAAACGAACAAAGTTATGCAAAGTCAGACAAAGTCTGTTTTAATTTTTGTTGTATTTGTACTTATAAACTTGATTTTGACAATATTGTAATTAAAGTTTTGTAAAGGGTGTTTTGATGTTGGTTGAAAATAAAATTGGTACATAGGAAACCTTAACTTGTCTCCCTTTATTTCAACTTGCGACATATGCCAACAATTGTAAATAAACCTACATGCACTAGTTGTTTAAAAATAATTATATTTTATTAAGAAGAACTCACCAACGTTGGATGGGGTATAACAGTCATGTAACCCAGCTTATCACAAAGACTCAATGTGACCAAGCCAGATTTAATAATTTTGTCTTATTGAAAGACAAATAAATACTACTACTACTACTACTACTACTACTACTACTACTACTACTAATAATAATAATAATAATAATAATAATAATAATAATAATAATAATAAAATAGTAATAATAATAATAATAATAATAATAGTAATAATAATAATAATAATAATAATAATAATAATAATAATAATAATAATAATAATAATAATAATAATAATAATAAAAATAATAATATGAAAGTAATGGGACACATCTCTCATTATTTCACGCGAGTTACATTCACTGTCCACACATGCTTCATTGATTCACTTTGCTTCGTGTCTTTGTAAACCTTCATCGTGTCTTTTGATTTGGCATCCTAGCTAATTTTGAGTCTTTATGGACAGTGTATTTTCCATCCAAAGGTGTTAGTCCTGAAATTCTTGTAGAGCTCGCACTTAAGAATTTACTGAAGTATTGTTGCTGTTTCTCTTCTTCTGTCTTCGAGGTCCATGAATGTTTTGTAATTTTAATTTTCGAAAATACTGTGTTCATATGCACGTCCTGTATAAATCCATTCAAAGTTTCACTATTTACATTACAAGTTTCGAATAGCTTTTCAACAAGTTCTTCGGTTTTTCTGCATTCCCAGTTCAGTTTTACTTTTAATCTATGGTTCGTGCTTTCGTTGTTGTTATTTGTACAAAGATGGTTTTCGTCGCTGGAAATAACGTAGTTCACCAGTTTATGATCTATATGCCTAAGGTAATACTGTAGGAGGTCATGTTAGCCTTCTTCTGCAAGATTGTTTACAAGTTTGGTGTTTCATTGATTAAAGGTCGCTTAGTCGTTAGCCGTTACAACGCTTTGTGCTCCGAAAATCACGTCAACAATTTACTTTCTAACAATCGTACTCAGGGGGCCCCTAGTGGCCGAATGGTCTAAAGCGCTCAACGTTACGGATCACTGACATCTCTTCTCCGTTTATGTCTACATGGGTTCAAATATGAGGTTTGGCCAGTGTGGGTACATGTGAAAGCTTGTTAGTAGCTTCTAGTGGGTCAGTAGTTCTTTCCAGGGGTATTCCCGGGTTTTTCGTCCACCATTTATACTGGCCACTCTTTATAGCCTACCTTGTGTGAAAATGGGGATAACCCTACAACAACAACAACAACAACAACAACAACAACAACAACAACAACGATCGTACTCCTTGGGATCTCGTCGTTCATTTATCCAAACATATTATCTTTCGTATGTTTTGAATGTACGTTTTCTTGAGTAGCCTGGAAATGCCATGTCTATGGCAATGATCATTGCCCGTTCATCAAAAGTTCACAAAATCAGTTAAATGTTTTTAATTTCCAGGCCAATCAACGCTATACAAATGTAAAAATAATCTGAAATAATTTTGATGGCTATCATCCTAATGTAGCAGAAGTGTCCCGAGAAGTATTGGCGCGTCTTCAGTTCTCTTGCGTAGTAGCTTGTTAGATTTGTATACTGTGGTTGTAAAAATGCATATCCCCAGTGAAAATGTTCTATCAATGCCGACAATGACTTCAAATCTAGTATTTGTTCATTGGTGTAGATTATTACTGAGAGTAAAGAACTGTCTTTAGAATGAATAATTTCAGCTACATACGGATGCCTATCGCATAACATTCGTATAACATTCAAAATATCGTCAGACAAGTTCTTGGAACCTGCTCCACCTCTGTTAACTACCTTCACTCGAGCCATAACATTCAGACACTTTCGTATATCGCGTGGATAATTTATTGATTCATTCTTTAAAGGGTCGGTACGTTTTCCATACACTTCACTGGGTTTTTGAGGCTGAATTTGTTTTCGAAACTTTTGAAGAGTTTTTGAATTGGTCCGTTCTTATGTTTCTGTGCACATATTGGGCTCTCCCGGTGTAGCATAATGTCCAATATACTCAACAATATCAATATTTCTGTACGATCAATGTACGTGACCCGCTTTCATTAAGATGGTTGACGTTTTAAAAGCTGTGTGGTACCTGTTAAATATCACTATATCATTTGTCTCTTATCGTGGAAGGACCTGTTTCAAAGCTTTTGAACCTTTTTCGTGAGTCTCAGGGCATGATACCTGATCCTTCATGTGTTTGTCAGTCTGTCGCCTTTTATAATAAATTGTGTTTTTAAACAAAGGTCTTTTTTATAATCCATGTACAGAAATCATCCCAATAGTGCGCTGGTTGCTTTGCAGATTTCTATTCTGTCGTTTTCTGAATTGTCAAGGACAACATATTTACATACTGAATTGTATTCACGGCCGGAATTTTACTTACAATACTGTCCATTGTTTGCTCTGAAGTTGTTGCTGTTGTTGTAGGCTTAACGCCATTTTTCAGCACACGATAGGCTATACATGGCGGCCAGTATTAATGGGGGAGGAAAAAACCGGGAAATCACCGGAAAGAACCACCGACCCACGAGAAGCAACTGGCAAGCTTTCTCACATATCCACATTAGACGAATCTTCGACTTGAAAATAGGCAGACAGAGGTGAGATGGCAGTTATCCGTAACGGAGAGCGCTTTAGACCACTCAGCCACTCGAGGCCACTGTTTGCTCTGAAGTTTGCGGTAGACCTGCTGTTAACGAATATGTTCCTGCGATATACCTGTCCCAAGACGACGTTGTGTCGTCACAATCCGTGTCAGGGTCGTCACTTTGATTGTTATCTATGTTTTCATAGCTTGTTAGCGATTTATTGTCACTTAAATCTCTGATGTTGCTACTGGCCGTGGTGGTAGAAAGATTCATAACATTTTCTAGATCGATAGATTTTAAATTATTATTATGTGCGATTCATCGCACGTCATGATTGCGTCATTTATCGATTTGGCTAGAGTACTGACCCTCTCTTGTTTTCGCGACATTCGCGGTACAAAATGATTTGGAAGCCATATCACTGTTGCAAGCTAGTCTAGACCACATTACGCTAAGCGCTTGATCCGGATTTTGATTATGCTGTGGTTCGTGTGTTCTTGTCAGAAGTTTAGCTTGGGAGTCTGCTTTCCCAAGCACAGATGGATATAAAGCATATACTGCATACTGCTAAACATCGGATGCAGCTTGAATTGTTCATGCACTAGAGAACACACCAAGTATCGCACAGTTCACATTTGCTTCTACAAAGAAGGTGTGCATTAACTGAAAGTCCTTGGCGAATGGTTGTATGCTTTAATAGTCACAATTCTCGGCCATTTCATTGCACGTGCGCGCTCTAGTTTCTGCACTTAACGTTTCACTGTCATAAAGTCCAACAAACAATGCATAAACAAACAGTTC